ACACACACACACACACACACACACACACACACACACACACACACACAGCTCTCTCTCTCACTCTGTCATTGCCTGGAGACAATGAGGCCTCCTCCTCACCTCCACTTTTTCCTTTCTCTCTCCAGAAAACACTCCGGTGAACCGTCAACAGTGTTGAATTTCAAAGCGGCTGACGCTCCTGGAGGAAGATGATTGAGTCAATTTGTCGACATGACGGACGTTTTGTGGCCTCGGTTCCTGCTCTCCTGCTCTCCTGCTGACTGCAGGCTACGGGGCTGAGGGAGCTTTGTATCAGGTGTTTGTTCAGGAGTTTTCCTGCTGCAACGACCTGCTTGAAGAACTTGAATCTGAGGGAGGTTAGTAATTGCCAAGTGCGTTTACAATTCACCTGCTGGGAGTGAACATGAACCCAGAGGGCGTACAGTTTAAAGGGCTGGTCCACCTAGATAACAGTGGTGTGCAGCTGTATTAATACGCAGCAGCTCTTTAATGCTTTCCTAATTTTCACCTTTTAATCATTTTCACTGCTCAGCAATGTGTTGGTTCCCACTTTTTTGGTGTTCCCTGAACGCGACTGCAACATCCCTGACAACACCACCTCAGAGTCAGTGGGATTGAACCCAAACACCTTTTCACTTAAAATAGTGGAAGAACTAGTGAGGTCTTTTGCTTGAGTGAAAGCAGCACTACGACAGTGTGAGTATTAGCAATGTGTATTAGCAGTACTTAAAGTATCAAAAGTTAAAGCATTAATTAGCAGCGGTAACTTTAAACTTGTGTTTCTGAAATGTAGCGAAGAAAAGTATAAAGTTGCATAAAATCAAAGAAGTAGTAGTAAAGTACAAACAAGTAGTACAATGCAGTTTAGTACAGTACACAACCTTTGCTCTCTCAAAGAGTGCAAGAACTGCACTGCTAATAACTGAAGGTTGTTGCGTGTTACTGTGAGCTGTGAAAGGACGAGCAGCTGCAAGACTGAGTCGAGAGATTTAACTGAGCAGAAAGCATTAAAGCACGAAAAGGAGTATAACAAACACAAAGGTACCACGGTTGCCTCAGAAGGTGTACTTATTTGAACTCAATGTGTTCTGCCCATGGAGTAATCTAAGACTGTTGTTGTTCCTAGTTCCAAGTTCAACCCGCTGTATGAGCTCCACTCAGCCAAACCACCTCCACCTGTATCCTTCCACCGACTGTCTGCAGGAAAACAAGTTTCCTTTTAACAAAAAATCACCTCAATTTAGCAAGAAATCATCCTAATTATAATCTGTATATGGAAACAGTGAATTACACATTATTATTATTATTATTATTATTATCATCATGTTGTCATAGTATTATTTTTAATATAATTTGTATTATTATTATTATTATTCATATTTCATACAAGAAATGCATCACTAAGTGCTTCACAATAACAGAAAGTAGAATGAAGGGAAACAGGGTTAGAAAGCCATAATTAATATTTAATAACATGGACAAACTAAACACACCTGGTAAGATAAGAAACTAAAATATGATGAAAATAAAAATACAAAAACAAGATGGAATAACATACATAGAATACATAACACACACACGATTTCCCACTGCACGTGAATGCTCTGCTTTATGCAGGAGTTGTTGAAAACCAAAAACCCTCCACACCAGGGAATGATAATATTAATTAACCAAAAGCGACCAGATGATCTGATTTCCACCAGCTTGAAAAACAGAAGTTGCTTCAGCTGCTTGTTCTCAGTCAACACCCGTTATCCTGCACCAAGGCCCTCTGTGTGTGTGTGTGTGTGTGTGTGTGTGTGTGTGTGAGACAAGGGCACAGAGGGGGCAAAGCACCTGCATAGTGATTCTCATACTGTTCCACCCTCCAACACAAAGACACACACACACACACACACCCTCCCGCCAAAACGTTCTTTCAAGCTTCAGATGTTTTCATTCCTCTCCATGTTTCATGTGTGAGACATCTGAGGAATTCTCAGAGTGTGTGTGTGTGTGTGCGTGTGCGTGTGCGTGCGTGTGTGTGTGTGTGTGTTTATCTCAAATATGGAAAAGTGAAGGAGGGATCTAATGTGTCTTTTCATGTGCGTCAGTCACTGTACGTCTGTGTTGAGCTGTAATGAGCCTGTGGAGACCGTTCAGTGCCGACGTGGGTGAGGTCTGGATACGGGGGTGTCATTGGGTGGATGGGGGGGGGGGGGTGATTCATTGTCAGGTCAGTAATTATCAGATTTGCCGAGGCCCCCAGAAGGAATAAGACAAATAAACACACACACACACACACCTTAACCAGGCCCTGTGGGCCAGCCGAGGCGAAGCCAAGAGAGAAGAGCTGTCAGTGGGACGAGTTGACAGGCCACCCCCCTCCCCCCCACACACACACACACACCCCTCCCCCCGGGGGGAGACGATAGCCAGCGCTGCTCTGACAAGCTGCTTAGTGGGAGATTCTGCCTGCTCATGCTCAGAAACACACATGCAAACACACACACACATACACACACACACATGACAGGGCTCCACACTAACTATAAAAAATATTCAGTTGCCGGAACTGAATATGCGGTTGCCATTTTTCGTCACTTCATATTTTGAGTAGAACGTTCATTGACCTGCGTTCCGTAGTCGTTTGACTACTGCGAAAGAAAATGCCGATTGTTGTTAGTTGTCATGGTGACAACCAGGCGGCAACCTCCAGTTGTGAAAAGTGAAGTCGATGCTTCATGTGTTAAAGCTGCATTCTCTCTAGTGTCCACCAGGGGGCGACTCCTCTGGTTGTGTAGAAGTCTATGAGAAAATGACTCTACTTCTCTCTTGATTTATTACCTCAGTAAACATTGTAAACATGAGTTTATGGTCTCAATCTCTAGTTTCAAGTCTTCTTCAATACAGCATGATGTTCATTTAGTACATTATGGTCCATTTAGAGTCAAACAGACCATAAAGCAGGGGATGCTTTAGGGCGGGGCTACACGGTGATTGACAGGTCTCCAGAGACGTATATGGACGGTGTCTCTACGTCACTCCTCCACATTCCAAATATGGTCACTTTACTTCATCGGTTGCAAAAAGCCAAGATGGCGACGACCAAGTCACCGAACTCAAGACCACAAACCAGGGGGTGACGTCACCGCGACTACGTCCACTTCATAGATATGTTGTTGTTGTTGTTTGCAGCCAATAAACGGAAGTTACATTGTCTCAAACGTATCGTCATCAAAATAATATAAAAGATGCAACAATCATGGAAGTAAATGCGGCCTACCTTCCAATAAAGACATAAAACAACTTATTAAACAGCTTCTGCTGAAGGTAAACGGCTAATGATGCTAACTGGCACATCAGTAAAAGAGAAAAATGCTGTTGCTAACATGTCCCTATTTGGTCAGCACCTACCTGGACTGTCTCACTGTCCAAGTGTCTCAGTGTCCCACTCTCTCCCTGTCCTTTGTCTTAGTACCCCAGTGTCTCCCTGTCTCCCTGTCCCAGTGTCTCCCTGTCTCCCTGTCCCAGTGTCTCCCTGTCCCAGTGTCTCCCTGTCCCAGTGTCCCAGTGTCTCTGGACGTGCTGCCATTGACAGTTAATGGGGTGTGGTTTGTCAGTGAGCTGTGGGTCTCATTTCCTCCTCTGTCAAACGTGTGCGCACAACAACTTGTCAACGCGATAATTTACACTGCTAAGCTGGGATCCAGACGTGTGTGTGTGTGTGTGTGTGTGTGTGTGTGCAGTAGTGTTTGTCTCGTGCTCCCTCTGACTCCTGGTCTGTGTCGTCTCCATTGACTGAGTCTCTGACAGGAAGTGATCCGTGTCGCTGCGTACACATCAACAAACAAGACCCGGGTCTGTGAGGAGGAGTAGAGGAGGAGGAGGAGGAGGAGGAGGAAGAGTAGTGGAGGGGGAGAAGGAGGCAGAGGAGGTAAAGGAGGAGGAGGAGGAGGAGGAGTGGACGAGTAGTGGATAAGGAGTGAAGGAGAGGTGGACGATGACGTGGAGGAGGAGGATTAATGAAGGAGTGGTGGAGGAGGAGTGGAGGATGAGGAGTAATTAAGGAGGAGTGGTGGAGGAGTGGACGATCACATCGTACCGGCTGGTCTCCCTGAACCACGTCCGCCCTCGGCTGACTGATCGCCTCATTGTTGTCACCCCGACCCGTCAAGGTTACAGAGGCCCAACTCAGGG